TCATATGTAAAAGATTCAGTTTCTGAAGTATAATTAGAGAAGGATAAACAAGCTTGTGGAACAAGACTGTGTATCTATCTATTCAGTTGTGAGGTTAAAGTTAGGAACCTCTTTTGTTTAAGGCAGTTTTTGTAAGAAACCCCCTCCCTAATGTAACCATGTCAGAGGTCTTTGCCACCCCTTTTGTACTGGCCACTCTTTTATGGGAATATTTTTCTGTCTCAACACCCTATTTCTCAACAGAGAATTATTTCCTTGCTTGGGAGACAAGCTCTACGGCCACTGTCCAAGTAAAGACCCCTGTCGGGAGAGGGATTTTAAATATTTCTGCTGGTCTCTTGACTTGTACCACCTGTAAAGATACCTACAGTGATGAGTGTCCCCAGAACTTTACCTCTGTTAGCTGTACCACCTATTCTGAGGGAACACTCCCTACTTGCACCTATGACCGAATTCCTCCTGCCACCCTCCTAGTAGGCTCTCCCCATTTAACCTCTTCCCAGTTGACACACAATGCTACAGCCCCCTTCTAGCTATAACGCTTTTGTTGATCTTCTGAAAGTTTCTCTCCTACCTGAAATATTAGCTTGTAATCATACTGATCCATGGGGCAGCCATGTTCAGTACCTTTTACAGACAGACCCTATCTGTGCCCCTAAGGGATATTCCTTCCTTTGTGAGTTGGGTGGGTCAGGTGGTGAGGATTCTGGGGAAGAAGTAAAGCAAAATGCCACTACTTGGCAGGACCCCAGGACTGTTGCTCTAGCCACCCAATGTTTAACACTTTGTAAGGATTTTGGTGTGTGCTCCCTTGGATTTTTGGCACCCCCGTGACCATTTTACACCTAGTCCCTCCATTCTAAACAAGAGTGAAACGTGGATTCTGGGGCAATGTTCTCTGGCACCTTAAAAAGGGAACAGAGTATCTCATGCCTTGGTGTGGACATTTACAACATGAGGTCATTCTTTCAAACCTAACAGAAACCATCCACCAATTGGCAAATGACACAGCTTATAGTCTCTGGGACATTCAGCATCCTCTGGATTCCCTGGCAAATGTGGTCCTGGATAATCAAATAGCTTTGGATTATCTGCTTGCTTAGTGGAGGTGTCTGTGCCCTGGCCAACACCTCCTGCTGTATGTATATTAACAACTCTCAATAAATGGAGCTCAATAGGACTAGAGAAAGTCACCTGGATGTGAAGCATCCATAAAAACCTTAGTACACCAGGGTCATCCTCTTCTTGGGGATCCTGGCTTCCTTCTATGTTAACTCCTATTCTTGTCCCACTCCTCATTATATTCCTTTTACTTCTTTTGGGACCTTCCTTGTCTGCTTAATCTCCTTGCCAGATTCGTCTCCTCTAGGCTCAGTGCCCTCCAATTCCAGATGACAGCTCAAGCTGTGTACCAGCCTCTGTCTGGGACCACAGCCCATCACCCCCTGGACCTGGCATCGGCCAAGTTCCAGACACTAGCTAAAATACCAACCCCTTGAATGGAGGGACCCGGCAAGGCCAGGACAGCTCTATACCCAATCCCAGCAGGAAGCAGTTTCAGAAGCTGAGACCTTCGTCCCTCACCCCAAAAGATTTTGGGTCCATCTGTTTAAGGGGGGAATGATGGGGTGTTTGGGTGTTTGTGTTTGAGTGCTTGTGCTTGTACTTGGACCCCAATTTCTCCCTAGTCTCAGAAACACTGTCTCTGACAACCACTCCCCAGCCCAAGGACACTGTGCCTTGCAGTTATTCATGCGTGGGCCCCAGCAAGATCCTTATCTCCCTTCCTGTCTGGTATACTCCCTGTACTTTCCCATCCATGGTTCCCAAAGACACCTGGAACTTTAGATTACCTCATCAGTGTCCCTGGCATTCCTTTCCCATGCCCTCCAACTCATCTCATCATCACTACACAGGTCGAAAAGATTTGTTGGGTCCCTCATTACTGGATTGATTTTCGTTGCTTCCTTAATCATTACATCCACCCTGTCCTCTATTGCATTGCAGTTAGAGATACAAGATGCATGATTTGTAAATGAGCTTGCAAAAAATATTAGCTTAGCCTTGCAAACTCAAGAAGTTATTGATAGGGATTTATCATATAAAGTTAATCTGTTGGAGCAGTCTGTACTATATTTAGGGGAGGAACTTGAAACGATAAAAACACGCCTTTCGCTACGTTGTGATTGTCGATATACCTATATTTGTGTCACCCCTTTACCTTACAATAATTCCAATCCTGATATGACTTGGGACAAAGTGAGAGCAAGGCTGCAGGGGGCATGGCATAGTTCTAACATTACTCTTAATATTGATACTCTTCATGGTCTTACCCTCACCACAGAAAATAGTCCCTGACCAGGAATTGATCCTAATAAAGTTGCTGAAAACATTCTATCTACTCTGCAAGGATTGTCCCCTTTCCAAGGTATATCTTTGCTTCTACATGTTTTGCCATATGTTGTAGTTCTTTTATGCTTGTGTCTATGCTGTCCTTTTATATTCAAAATGTTTTCCTTTATGATGAAATCCATAATGAATCAGTTAATGGAACTCGTTAGCAAACAAAAAAGGGGGAGATGTTGGGGACAGGATCTACCTGGAAAATCTCTAAACCATTAGGGGTCAGTACAGGTAAAGGCAATGGCCTTCACTGGATCATCTGTCCCTGACCTTACCCTGGACTTGCTTTGCTGTTGAGTAAACATCTACTGAGTCCCGTGGGAAAGCACATAGTCACAAGGAAACAAAGAAGTCTTAGAATAGACAATGAACCTTCACCCTAAGGCAATGCCCCTCAGGTGTACTGTTTACTTAAGAACTTTGTATCTTTAGCTCTCTGCTCTCCAGATATTGTAAATCATCATTTACTTTTGTGTATAAAAGTTCAAGCCTTACTAGAAATAAACAGTCCTGTGGCTGATCACCCTTGACTGCCTAGCTGGGCTTTCTCCTCTTTATTTTTCCATAACCGCGTTGTCCTAAGCCAGCTGCTGGCAACTGTGAATGCTAATTATTATTATTAGTTCCTTAATTAGATGTGACCAGTATACAATGCCAATGGTGAAGAGATGCCCGATTTTCTATGTAAGGAAATTTGGAAAAGCATTCAACAGAATTGGAGTTACCTGATTGGCAATGTGTGTGTTTGAAGTTTTAAACACCTAGTATTGTTTCAAATTGGTAAACGTTTGTATTGTTATGTCAATCAGCTTTTAACAATTTGGATGGTATTAAAGTGTGAACTGAAAAAAACTAAAGGATGGTGGAAAAATTGTGTAAAACCAGTTATATTACTTTATCAGACCTGCTAACCTCACTTCCAGATGACTGCTCAGGCTGCATGCCAACCTCTTGTCTTATAATGCTTTATAATTGCCATTTGGAAAATCAGGTATTTCCACCTTTACCTATAATTAATGAAGGGGTTATAGCTAAAACAATTTGTCTTATCGCTTATGAAAAGTTATAAGATTGTTAACTAAGTTATTTGAAGTTACTGTTTTAATGTTAAAACCTAGAATTGTTAATTGATTACTGTGTGTGAAAAGCAGGGGATTGGGTGGGCTATTGTGCTAGGATCTATACAAATCTTTTTGAACAAAGCACTCTTGCACTCTCTGGCTGACACCATTTTGGGCGACACGGGGGTGTCCTTTCTTGAGAAAGCCAGTAAAGCAGCTTTCCTTTTTGCAAATTCTTGTCAAGACTCTGATTCAAATTTGGGTAGGTGGTCTCTGTCCCATACAATGAAGATAATTTTTTTTGGATTGATTAGTTGTGTCTGACTCTTTGTGACCCCATTTGGGGTTTTCTTTGGGGCAAAGATACTAGAGTGGTTTGACATTTCCTTCTCTGCCTCATTTTACAGATGAGGACACTGAGGCAAACAGGGTGAAGGTGATGGGGTGCTCAGGCCCCAGTCCTAAGATTATGTTTCTGGAAGCCTCCTAATTTCTCAGTAGGCCCCCGTCCTATGAGAAAATTTTCTCTTGTTGCAGAACGCCTTCTCTTATCAGGACAGACAGAGGGGTGTCTGGCCCAAAGATTTTTGTCCTTAGCTGGCCCAAGGACTCTCCCTTCTACCAGATCTCCAAGGTCCTTGCCTCTGACAACTCCCGAAATGTCAAGTATACCACCTACACTTTCCCATCCATAACTCCCAAAGACACCTGGGCCCCTTGCATTACCTAATTAGTATCCCTGGCATTCCTTTCTCATGTCCCTTTACTATATAAACTCTAGATTCACCCCCATTAAGTAGCATGTTCCCCTAAAGGAACTTCGCCCGCTACTATTGGCTAAACTGCCTCTTGTCTGAAAGACGGTTTGAGTGTGTGAATTTGATTAGGCGACTCTAACCTGGCATTCTCAGGGTCCCAGCACCCCAAACCTCTACCCAATACCTCTTCAGAGGGACTGACACAGCTAGTAAAAGGTTACATTTGATCTCAGTTCCTCCTGACTCCAAGTGGGGCACTTTATCCACTGTACAACCTAGCTGGATCAAAGATAATAATAGCTAAATATAGTGCTTACTATGTGCCACGCTCTGTACTAAGCGATTTACAATTATTATTTCATTTGATTCTCACAATAACTCTGGGGTGGGGGGCAGGGTAGGTGTTATTATACCCATTTTACAGATGAGGAAACTCAGGCTCATGGAGGTTAAGTGATTAAGTTATATGTGATTAAAGCACAGACAAATGAAACTGATAAAACTTTTTTTTCCCCTATAAGAAACCAGGTTGGACAATTATACCCTAGTATGCTCAAAGAGCCAATTTATCCCTAGCTTGCCCCTCCTTCTCCTCCCCAGGTAAGTAGGTGAAGACTTCTGGGATGGGATTTACTGGAAATCCTGTAGCAGTAATCTCATTCCAGGGTTCCGCGGCTTCCAGGAAGTCTACGTTGGACTACATTGCCCATAAACCTTTGCTTTCTTTCCCAGTTGAACCTATTGCAATTTAAATAGGGTGTGCCCAGAGAGAGTCAGCCATAGTATTTGGAGCCAGCTACGGCTAAGGCTTCAGCAGCCTCCCTGATCAGGGCTCAGCCACTGCAAATTTAGGGAAAGATGTTGGGGGTCCTGGCCTTGTTGGCTTCGCTTGTCTTTCTCCTGATCTTGGCAGCACCCTATATCAGGTGAGTGACAGTGGTTCTGCTGCAATCTCTCCCTCAGCCCACCTTCTTAAGAAGTGAGGAGCCTCTCCCTGCAGAGGAAGGATGAAACTTGTAACTGGAGACCCCGAAGAGGGAGCCTGATTGGTGTTTCCTTGTAAAGGGTGATCCTAGTCAAAGGCAAAGGAAGGCTGTGCTCGGAGGGGAGCCGTATACAGTAGAGTGGCCTCAGGAAATCTCAGACCCACGGAAAGTAGCCAGAGTTCCAGGAGGTCAGGGCATCCGCTTCAGCAAGGAGGTTCCATTTACCATTGGTGTGGAGTCAGCGGAGCCCTGCAAAGAGGTGCTTGGCTCGACCTGAGCAGTTGTGGTTTGGAAAGTCCTCATGGGGAGAAGATACAATGCAAATAATAGCTCATGTTCCCCTTAGGCCTAATGTAACATCTACCAAATTGTTTTCTTTAGTAGGAGTAGTTTGATGAAATCACAGATCAAGATCTTCTCCCCACCCCCCCAAAAAAAGAGACTGAGAAATAAACATTCTAACCAAGGGCTTCAGGTAGAGAGAGCACATTTTTCTCCCAGACCTTAGACCCCTCTAGCTCCGATAAATTGCAAAATCACTTCGTTCTCTGTTCTTGTTATGTTTCACTTGTTCTGTCTTTTGACCTCTGGTATGCTTACAGTCCCGCAGAGAGAGCCCTAGGCCCCACACAGAGAGACCTAGGCCTCAAAAGAGTTGTAAAACATTCCATTATTCACTGGGAGTTTGAGCTAGAAAAAAAAATACTCAGTTGCTCTCTTTGCCCTAGAGTTAAATAAAAAAGTTCATGGAAAATGTTGTATTAAGACTAAGAGGGATACGTGTTACTTCCAGCATTGCATCTCCTCCCATAGGGACCCAGAAACATAAATGCTTGCTTTTTTGAGGGCCTCCTTTTACTCTAAACCAAGGGCAAATTAAATCTTCCAGAAGGAGTTTATTGGAGAGGAGGACACAGACTTCCTTTAAACAAAGAGGGTTAGCTGTGTGTCCAGGGCTTGACTGGTTCAGTCTGAATGATTAATGAAGAATAATTATGGAGCATCAAAAGATGGTGGGCAACTAATGGCATTAAATAGCACTTGAGGACATATTTGGTGATGCACAACAATTTCTTATCATATTCTCCTCCCCTTCTTCTTCTACCTTCTCTCTCTCTCTTTTTCTCTTTCTCTCTTCCTCTGTCTCTGTCTGTCTCTCTCCTTGGATTCAAGAAACTTGGGTTCAGGTATGGCCTCTGGCACACATTTTGTGACAATGGGAAAATTCTTTAAATTCAGTGTCATGAGCAAATCTCTTGTATTTCAAATTGCAGACAAGTTACTGATTAGCATGGTAGAGGTACTTTGATGAAACTGATGAAATGACAAATCTAGACCAAAAACAGGTAGATAAACACTCTTAACTTTAGGGCCTGAAACACCAAAGTGCAATGAGACACCTGGAATTGAAAACTGGTACTGACTTTAGCTGTGTGATCCTGGGTAAGGCAGCTAAACTCTCTGAGCCAGAGTTTCCATAACTGCAAAATGGGGGGTAATACTTATATTACCTCCTTCAAGGGTTGGGAAGTACTTTATAAAGCTTAAAACACAATATAAACATAACATACACACTCTCTCCTAGACACTGTTTATGGTTATAACAAATGCCTTGAGCTATTTAAAGAGCTGATTAAAAAAAAAGCCACCTAACTTTGCACATTTCTCTTAAGCATACCCAGGATGGAACAAACAAATGTCATCTTTCTACAGAACAAGGCTTGTGATCTCCTACTATGTGCCAAGCACTGTGTTAGGCATACAAAGACAGAATGTAGTTGTTGAAACTGAAGCCTAGTGCCCTGTTGACTGAGGTTCTAACCCTAATCCTTTTTTTTTTATTGCAATTTTAAAATTAAAAAAAATTTTAATTTCATTTTTGCATCATGATTATTTCCCAGTATGCCTCCATAACGAATCCTCACTTATAACAGAGAAAAAGTTAAACAACTTACAAGACAACTTTCTGACACTCTATACCCAGGGTACTTCAAACTCTCCACTTAAGTGTAGACTGTCCTTCAGTGTGTTTTCTCTAGGACCAAGATTGGTCTTTCCAATGAACCCAAGTTTGGCTATCTTTGTTTACATTATAGTAAACCTAGATTGTGTTTTACTTTCTTTACTCTGTATCAGTTCATATACTTCTTTCCATGTTTTTTTAATTCATGTTTGTTACTTCTTTTTAAAAAATATATTTTATTTATTTCAGTAAATATTTCCAAATTACAATTTAAAAATTTTTAACATTAATTTTTTTAAGTTTTGGGTTCCAAAATCTCTCCCTCCTTCCCAACCCTCCCCCACCCTTTGAGAAGGCAAGCAATATATTGATTATACATGTGAAGTCATGCAAAACATATTTCCATATTCGCCATGTTGCAAAAGAAAACATACCAAAAAAACCCAGGAAAAAAAGTGAAAAAAGTATGCTTCAATCTGTATTAAGTGTTCATCATTCTGTCTCTGGAGGTCAATATCATCTTTCATCATGGATTCTTTGGAATTGTCTTGGGTCATTGTCTTGATCAGAGTAGCTAAGTCTTTCACAGTTGATTATTATGACAAGATTGCTGTGTTTATTACAATGTGCTGTGATTATTATTACACTATTGTACAGTGTTCTCCTGGTTGCTCACTTCACTTTGTATCAGTTCATATAAGACTTCCCAGGTTTTTCTGAAAGCATCTTGCTCATTTCTTATAGCACAATAACATTCCATCACAATCATATACCACAATTCCCCAATTGATGGGTACCCACTTTGTTTCCATTTTTTTCTAGCCTTAGTTCTTAAGCTATAGAAGAGTTAAAGGAGTTCCCTGCCCATCCCCACAGCATTGCTACTACCATCATGCTTTGTTGTTTAGTTGGTCTGACTCTTTCTGACCCCATGGGTCATAGTGTGCTAATACCGTCCATGGGGTTTTGTTGGCAAAGGTACTGGTGAGGTTTGCCATTTCCTTCTTTAATGAGTTAAGGTAAACAGAGGTTAAGTGACTTGCACAGGGTCACATAGCTGGTAAGTAAGTGTCTAAGACTGGATTTGAACTCAAGTCTTCCTGAATCCAGGCCCAGGGCTTTATCCACTGAGTCACGTAGCTGCCTCTACTACCAACATGATATAGATGCAATTCATTTAACTGAGAGCACTAAGACCGCTTGCCTCTGCATCATCCTCTTGTCTTCCCCTGCATAAAAACAGGATGACAAAGGATGTTTATTGTCCGAGAGCCACTGCGATGGAAAAAAAAATCAAAGCAAATTCTAGTCTTGAGCTGCAGAGACTTGAGGCACAAGAAACCTAGGATGAGATGGGAATCTCACTGGGGAAAAAAAATGGATGAATTTTTTTCTTCTCCCTCTGTAGGAAAGCGGTTTCCAAAGGAATATGTACATCAACTGTGCAGCTTCCTGGAAAGGTAGCAATAGTCACTGGAGCCAACACGGGCATTGGGAAGGAGACAGCCAAAGACCTTGCTCAGAGAGGCAAGTTTATGTTCCTCCAGTCCCCTCCAGATTCTACCATTTCCTTTCTCATGTTATTTGTTGTGTTCCATCTTTCCCTCTTAGTTGTAGGTATCTATGGCTCAGAATTTAAGAGTATCCTTGGAACCTGTGTTTCAGTAGTCCCATTGAGTTCTGACCCTATGCCTACTACCAAGCTTTACCCACCATGGGTGTGCTATGAATGTTAGTCATTTACTGAGTGAAGTTCTGATACTCTGTGCCCCAGCTACCTTCTCAGTAAAATAGAGCTAATGATTCCTCCTTGAAACATTAAAGACCAGTATTAAACATTACTCAGTTCATCCTGATCAGTCAGATTGGTCTGAGCTAACTGTCCTTTTAAGAACATCTGTTGTCATACCCACTCATACTACCCCCACTTATGCCCATTCTGGACTCGGGGCATCTCCTCCCTTTTCCTATCTCCATTGCTTACCTTAGATTTATTCAGTTACTATTTTGTCTTCCTCTGTTGCCCCTAGTCCCAATGCAGTGGGGCTCCCATACCTGGTGGGGATTGAACTGAGTGGGACATCTCCCTTTCCCCCAGAGAGGATGACTTAACTTTTCCCCTCTTGGCTTACCCCATATTCTTGACTTCAGCCTACAATTCCCTTCTCCCCATGATGAAGGATTAGGGATAGGGGGTGTGTATATAGTATATAGGGCTTATGAGATGATGCCACTTCCAACTATGTAAGAACCTCCTCTATGCCCATCATAGGCATCATCACCAGATTTGTTTTCAGAATCAAATTAAAATTGTATTGTACTGTACACAAAAATTCAACTTGTTTATATTTTTACTCTTAGGAGCTCGAGTTTATATTGCTTGTAGGGATTTGCAAAAGGGGGAGTTGGCCGCCAGTGAAATCCGGGCTAAGACAGGGAACCAGCAGGTGTTGGTGCGGAAGCTGGACCTGGCTGACACCAAATCAATCCGAGCCTTTGCTGAAGCCTTCCTGGCAGGTGAGAGTCAAACTGGGCAATTAGGAGGTAAAGGCCAAAGAGGGGGCAAGAATCAAGGATAGGAATAGCACACTTGCTATGTGGCTCATATCAGCTCTACCCTTGGTTGTCCTAAAAAGAGTATGCATTTAAGAAACAGCTGGAGGAATAACTCAAATTGGGCTGTAATCTTGAATCACCAGTAGGAATTCAAGTCTTTCCTCTCCCCTGGAAGCCATTCTCACTGGGATGACTTCTGATTCTTCTCTTAAGGGTCTGAAGGTCACCTGCATCTGTCAATTTCATGCCTGCTTCATGCAACTCCTTTGTAGTACTCCTTTGTAGTATATGGAATTAACATAAAGTCTGACATCCATTAGGATACAGGATGGGTTGTTGATTGATTAATTGAATGTGACCTATGCAAGTGAAAGAAAAATAAAGATTTGATTCTTGAGTCTCTTTTTTTCCATGCCTAATTATATTCAGGTAGGCTGGGCAGGTATCTAGGCCACGGGTAGCCTTGGCCAGCTGCTGCTAAACTCCTCAAAATCCTCATCTCCTTCCCTATGCTTTGCAGAGGAAAAACAGCTTCACATCTTGATCAACAATGCAGGAGTGATGATGTGCCCCTACTCCAAAACAGCTGATGGATTTGAGATGCACATGGGAGTCAATCACTTAGGTAAGAAACCCGATATAACAGAAAGCAGAAGATCTTATTAAGTCCCTCGTTCTTAAGTTTTCTGATTTAGGTTCAGTTTTTCTTAGGATCTTCACAATTGCCACATTGCTTTGACACCTAGTGTTGCTTCAGCCATAATCCCTATCACCAAGGTCCATGTCAGAAAACCCATATTTTAAACTTATTATAGAAGAAATCCCTTGTCTCAGGCTGTTTCTGTTGAACTGAACCTGCTCTCTGGCATCTGATTTCTGAGGCCACCTTATCCAAGCCATACACACAAAAAGATTTGATCCCGTTTGTTCAAAGGACTCGAGTCTGGTACTCCACTTGTATTTGTTCCCTCTCCTTAAGCCCAGCAACTTCTATAGTCATGTCAGCTATTCCACATCTGTCTTTGGGGATAGTCCTAATTTTTCTTTAAAAAGACAGCATGGCACAATGGAAACCATGTTAAACTTGCATTTAGAAGACTTAGGTTAAAATTTCATTTCTGACCCACCTTACTAATTGGGGAACATCAGGCAAGACAGAAACTTAGTTCCCTTATCTGTAATGAGAATAATACCTTTAAATACCAGTCTTCCAGAGTTCTTGGTGAGGATCAGATGAGACAATGTATGTAAAGCACTTTGTGAACCTTAGAATGCTATGTAAATAAATGCTAGTGATAAGATAAAATTAAGAACTTGGCCTGAGCTTCCCATTTTCTATAATTGGCCCCCTGCTATTATTGCCTCTGAATTTTCTCCTTTTCTGCTTCCCTTCCCAGGTCATTTTCTTCTGACCCACCTGTTGCTAGAGAGGCTGAAGGAATCAGCCCCATCAAGGGTGGTGAATGTGTCTTCCTTGGCATTCCACTTGGGCAGGATCCATTTTTATAACCTACATGGTGAGAAGTACTATAACCCAGGCCTTGCCTACTGCCACAGCAAGCTGGCCAACGTGCTTTTTACCCAGGAGTTAGCTCGGAGACTAAAAGGTAGGCCTGCAGAAGAACGGGCGGGGGGGGGGAAGGGGGCCGCAGGGCGGGGAGAGTGGAACAGAAGGTAGAGAACAGCAGTAGGGAAGGTTGTCTTTCCTACTGTAGAATCTCTCTTTCAAAAATGTACAGGATAAAGAATACTACAATTTGAGTCTGGCCTACTGCTTCCTCAAGCATCTTTTGTTCAGGGGCCAGTTGGAAAATAGATAGGGAGCCACAACCTGAGATAGTTGGGGATTTGATCTTCATTTACCAAGCGTGAAATCTCTAAGTAAAGTAAAGTAGCTGGTTTCCAGGTTTGTTCTGTGTAAAGAGGAGTCCCATTGCTGGCTCTCAAGACTTATACTCTAGACTTCTGAGATGGTGCTGGTAATAATCCAACAATGGGGAGCCTTCATGCTGAGAGTTCTTCTGCTTTCTCTGCCCTCATCAAGATTTTGAGTTCTCGTATATAGCTTCCCATAACTCCTGTCCTTCTAATTCTAGGTACTGGGGTTACTACGTATTCTGTACACCCAGGAACTGTCAACTCTGAATTGTGTCGGCATTCAACTTTCATGAAACTGATGTGGAAACTCTTTGCTGTCTTCATTAAGACACCGCAGGAGGGAGCTCAGACCAGCCTGTACTGTGCCTTGACGGAGGGCCTTGAGCCTCTGAGTGGGAAACATTTCAGGTATAATTCTGTTTATAGAATTTTTTCCCCCAAAGGATGTCAGTTGTATGACAACACATCCAGAGTTTTAATATGTTGATGGAAATATAAATTATTGAATGTTTCATGTTATTTATAAATATTATTGATAATTTGTTTGCATATTGATAGAACTGGGCAGTCCCTGAATGGTTTGTCCATCATACTTCTTCTGCCAAGTCATATTTGAACTGTTAGTGGCTTGGATCTTCTGCATCTTAATTGTGATGCAGAAGAAAGCGCACTGGACTAAAGAGACCTGGATTCTAGCCCCTGCTAAGGTACTGCCTTGTTGACATCATCACCCTTGTTGTTCAGTCATTCAGTGGTGTCCTACTCCTTTGTGACCCATGGACCATAGCACACCAATACGGTCCATGAGGTGTTTGTGGCAAAGATTGGAATGGTTACCATTTCCTTCTCCGGTGGATCTAGCGGATCCTTTTGTCATGCAATCAGAGGTTAAGTGACTTGCCCAGGGTCACACAACTAGGAAGTGTCTGTGGCTGGATTTGAAACTCAGGTCTTCCTGACTCCAGGCCCAGAGCTCTATCCATTGAGCTATAGCTGGCTCTATCATCACTCTTGTACCATAGTTCATTTTATGGAGCTGTTTTTCCACTGCAAATCACACTGGAGATGTAGACTTGAACAAGGACTTTATCAGCAGCTAGCTGCCACCTTAGCTATCCCTGCCCAAAGTACTTTGCATCTTGGGCAAATCACTTGACTTCTGTAGACCTCATTAATTTCTTCTTCTCTGAGGGCACTGGACTAATTCGGCAGTTCTCAAACTTTTTGGTCCTAGGACCCCTTTGTACTCTTAAAAATTACTGAGGACCTCAAACAGATTTTGATTGTGTGGATTATAGCTGTTGATGTTTTTGTTGTTGTTGAGTCGTTTCAGTTGTATCTAACTCTTTGTGACCCCATTTGGGGTTGTCTTGGCAAAGATACTGGAGTGGTTTACTATTTCCTTCTCCAGCTCATTTTATAGATGAGAAACTGAGGCAAACAGGGTTAAGTAACTTGCCCAGGGTCACACAGCTAGTAAGTATCTGAGGCCAGATTTGAACTCAGGAAGATGAGTCTTCCTGACTCCAGGCCCAGCACACTATCCACTGTACCACCTACCTGCCCAATACTGAAATTAAATTAAAATGAAACCATATTTGAAATTAAAATGGATACATTTTAAAAATATTTATTCATTCTTTTAAAATAATAATAAATACATTACACATAAATAGAATTTTTATGAAAAATATTTTCTAAAACAAAAAAGCGAGAATGACATGGTTTTACATATATACGTATATGTGTGTGTGTATGTGTGTATAGTAGTTGTTGTTGCAAATCTTTAATGTCTGGCTTATTAGAAGTCAGCTGGATTCTCATATCTGCTTCTGCATTCAATCTGTTGTTTTGGTTGAAGAAAATTCAGCCTCATACAGATAGGGAGCTGGAAAAGGGAGGAATATTTTAATAGCCAAAAAACATACTAGTATTGGAAAAAAAAGAAACTGGCAAGCCTTTCTGGATAAAGAAACCAACCTTTATTAAGGGAAACAAAGGTGGTGGTCTACAGTCCGTCCAGTATGATCTGAGACCACGAGTTACAAAATTCACAGTTATTTATAGTTCTTTTGATCCATATATGGATCAATCTTGTCCTGTACAACTGTCCTTTACAAGATTGCAGGGCTTTAGGATGTAAGGTTTTCCAGTAAGCCCTGATAAGCCAGAGGGCTTTGTTATTTTAATATAAAGATTTTTATAATGATTATATTATTATTATTACATTTTATAATGATTATAGTTATACTCCTGGAGATAACTAACATAGGCACTCACACTCCTAAGGTCAACCAACCCAGGCACGCCTGCATTCATATAAAACAGGAATATCTGAGTTAGTTAACCCTAGGAATGTACTGAAGTTTTCACCCGGAACTCTACTCTTACTATAAATCACACAGTTACTTCTTACCCTAAAATGATTGTAGCTGATGGATGATTAGCAAAGCAAAGCACTCAAGTCATTGATTATTGATTTTTCCTGTTACAGTATTATTATGAAAATGGTTGTGATGTTGCAGATTCCCTGAAAGGTCTTTGGGACCCCAAGGGGTCCTCCAACAACACTTTGGGAATCACTGGACTGTGTAATTTCTAAGGTCCCTTTCAGCTCTAATGTCCTGTGAATCTTACTGCCACCTTAGATATCCCTGCCGTATTCCAATACCTACCCCTAGAGCCTCCCCATACATCTATGATGGGGGGGGGGAACACATTGGCTGGTACCCACTGTTTGCTACCAACTTTAGGTGAATGACCAGTAGCCTAGAAGACACAAATTTGACAGAAAAGACTGCAGGGCCCAAATATAAAGCAGGGACTAGATTTAGCCTTTGAGAGGATAAAACATCCTTAGCTCTGTTTGGACTCAGATAATTCAATTTTCCAACCATTCAGTATCAAATCCACCTCATAGCCAGACTCAGGAATAGCCAGGTGGGTAACATTCCCTTTCAAAGTAACATAATGGGGAAACTGAGCCAGGAGGATCCTATCTTAGACTGAGGCTAAAATTGTCCTCTTAGCTTTTCCTAATGCTGACTTCCCACCCGTATCACATTTTCTGAGAAGCTTGTGGCATTTCTCTCAGATGGTGGATTATTGATTATTGATGGATTATGACCCATCAGACACTCAAAATAAAATCCTAAGAGCTTTTACCTCAAACAGCAAGTTTCACTAATCACAGCTTAAGAAAAACTTTGCCAGGATTTACATCTCGAACTTAAATTTGTCCTGGTGTAAAAAGCCAACTGTTAGAGATTATTCCTATATAACTGTAAATTCTTAGCAAGACAAAACTCAAACAAGCTTTTGGGCAAGTTTGCACATCAAAATAACCAACAATAGCCAAATTATTCTAGTGGTAACCAAATTATGAAAAGTTGCTTGACATAACTGAGAGAAAAAGTTCACCAATCAGGTGACTTCAATTTTGTTAAATGCATTTCCAGATTACTTTACACAGAGAATCAACATCTCATTAACAGTTAAAACTACAATTTTAAAGGAGTGTGCTTACCCAAGTTAGGAGGCTAGCTTCTTTACCGTGAGCAGAATGTATCAGTCTACCTTTTCAACTACCATCCACCAATCAAGAAATGTTAGATCTGGAAAGGACCTTAAGTCATCTTGTCCAGTCCCCTAATTTTACAGATGAGAAAACTGAGGGCTAGAGAGGTGATATGACATATGTAAAAGAAACAAGATTTTTTATTATCTCTCCCTCCCATTCTTCCCTTCCCCACCCCATTGGGACAATTTTTCTGGAAAAAAAAATTCCTCATAATGAATATAAATAGTCTAGCAAAACAAATTCACACATTGGCCATGTCCAAAAATTTATGTCTCATCCTGTATTTTAAGCTTATCACTTCTCTGGAAGGAGATGGGTGGTGTTTCATCTTCAATCTTCCAAACTTGTTTCAGGACTCAAATTAGGATTTGAACTCAAGTCCTCTGAAACCCAGTGCAGTGCTCTTTCTACTGTATTAGGTAGCTAGGTGGTGCAGTGGATAGATCACTGGGCATGGAGTCAGGAAGACCTGAGTTCAAATCTGGCCTCAGACACTTATTAGCTATACTACCCTGGTCAAGTCACTTAATCTGTTTGCCTCAGTTTCCTCATCTGTAAAGTGAGGGGGATAATAATAGCACCTACCTACTTCCCAGGGTTGTTGTAAGGATTAAATGAAATAATAATTATAAAGCACCTGACACATAGTAAGTGCTATATAAATGTTAGTTATTTATTATTACTATGCCTTGTCCAGAGTATGAACCAAACAACTCTGCTTCACGTGCACTGTCAGTGACATTAACCTCTCTTTTCTCCTCTAGTGAATGCAGTCCTGCATGGATTTCCTCCAGGGGACACAACATGACAACAGCAAGGCGGTTATGGGATGTCAGCTGTGATCTGCTGGGAATCCAGCAGGACTGATAGATGGGAGTAGCCTATCACTACTCAGTTTTAATGTGCCAAAAGGATTTCTACAAGGTTGGTTGAAAGGGAGCACAATTCTTCCACTGATGATACATTTGTCTACCTGACTTCAGGGTGATAACCCAATGCACTGCCAGATGTTTCTAAGTATCTTTTACTTGTAGTCTTTGCCTTGTCTCTGTCACTTCCAGGACCATTAGTAATATTACTGGACAGTAAGACCCCAGTATTACATGTGCTGATGATTCTTTCCTTCTGTTCACCTCTAGGTGAATGGGACCAAACCATGGAGAGGGAAGGATTATATTGAAAGTTAGCCCTCTCTGACCTTTATTGGACAGTATCTAGTTGCTACTGAGCTGGTCTTCTTCAAGAAAATAGCTCTGTAAACTCAGTCTGGAGATCCTTCATCAAGACCATAACCAGATTCCCCCGTAGGTAAAACCAATCTGAGACCGATGTCTAGACTCATTTAGGAAGATCTTTATTAAATCTAGAATTCACTTGGGCTCTTTCCTTTGAGCAGCCTGGAGCCATTTTTTTTAATTTAATTTTTTTTTCTGGAACCATTGTTACACAATAAATAATATGAGTGAGAGAAGGAACAAATGTCATTTGGTCTTTTTTTTTTTTTTTTTGGTGAGGCAATTGGGGTTAAGTGACTTGCCCAGAATCACACAGCTAGGAAATATTATGTGTCTGAGGCCGAATTTGAACTCAGGTCCTCCTGACTTCAGGGCTGGTGCTCTACCCACTGTGCCACCTAGCTGCCCCTGTCATTTGGTCTTCATACATACAACGGAATCTATTTTTCTTTGCAGTTTGGCCCTTCTGTGTCGCTTATGATTACAAACCAGTTAAATGACTGGGCCTTCTTTCAGCTGTATCTTTGTGCAGATGGTAGGGAAGTGGAGAAGCTGGGCAGACTAGAAAAGGATGGGGAGGGGAATTATTGGAAATTTAATGGATGGTAGGAGATGGAGCAGAATGTGAGGTCAAAGTGAAGAGCTATAAGGAATAGAAGAGGCCTGTCCGTAAGATTGTGGATAAACTGAAATGGCAGTCCCAACCAGCACTAATATAGCTGGGGAAAGCACCTTCGTACTGCAAGAAGTCATTTCCTATAACCCATATTAAATTATATTGAGATTATGCATAATTTTATTCAATTTCCAGGCAGCTAGGTGTCGGGTCTGGAGTCAGGAAGATGAGTTCAAATCCAGCCTCAGACACCTATTAGCTGTGTGACCATGGGCAAGTCATTTAACTTTAGTTTCTTCATCTGTGAATAATAATAGCACCTACCTCCTAGGGTGTTAAAGATCAAATGAAATAATCATTGGAAGGTGCTTAGCATAGTGCTGTTTGGCATAGAGTGAGCACTATGTAAACATTAGGTATTATAATAATTATTATGATTTCAAAGCATTTGTTTACCATTGGAATTATGTAGATGTTGGTAGAACTACTACTTAGGAATTTAACTTTTTATAACATTAATGCTTGCAAAATAAAACACAGGCATTAGAAAATGTTTGCCTCAACTGTTCAGAGTACTATGCCTAGCTGGAATTTGGATGTTATTTTTCCTGTACTGATACCTCAGATGTTTAATTTTGAAGAGGAACAATTATGGGACTAGTCATGATTCTTCATATTTAAACATTTCTCATCTCTCTTCCTTACTGTCATCATTATGGCCTAGAAAATGGATCTGTTGCTGCTGCATAGGGAATTTTTTGTTTTATAAGACATTATGGTACAACAACTGAATTAACACTGGTTTTTAACTTACATGGATTGCCCCATGACAAATAAAAATAAATGCTATTTATTCCGTATTATTATTGTTTTTTGACTGGACTTGTGCTTTGATTGATGTAGGAAGTCCTGGTGAGGAAACTCCCTCCACTGATGCAGTTCAGTAACTGTTGTGCTAGGTATAGTCCTTGCTTTTGGGGATTTGTGTGATTTTTCTCATAGTTACAAATGCAGAGAGTCTCTAGGCAGCCTGCCTGATTTTGAGGGCACTATATCAGCAGTTCTCCAAGTTTTTGGTCTCATGACCCCTCTATATTCTTAAAAATTATTGAGGACCCTCTATACCCTTAAAAATTATGGAAGAACTCAAAGAGCTTTTGTTTATGTGGGTTATATCTATCAGTATTTAATGTATTAGAAATTAAGACAGATAAATTTTAAAATATTTATTTTAAATTAGTGATAATAAATCCATTATATGTTAAAATAAATAACATTTTTAATGAAAAATAACTACATTTTCCAAAATGAAACAAAAAAAAATAAAATTGTGGTTTTGTTTTACATCTTTTTTTTGCAAATCTCAATGTCTGGCTTAATAGAAGACAGCTGTATTCTTTTATCTGCTTTTACACTCAGTCTGTTGTGATGTTGTTTTGGTTGAAATACCTGAAGAAAATCTGGCCTCACATAGATAGATAGGTGGAAAAGGGAGTTTTTAAGTATGCAAATAACATCTTAGTATTATTATGAAAATAGTTTTGACCTTCAGTACCCCCAGAAAGGATCTTGGAGACTTCCAGGGGTCTGTACTAAACCATGCTTTCTGTTTCCAAAGATTATTATCTATCCAATGAGAAAGGCAGGGTAAGACTTCTGTTCAAGGAAAGGCCTTAGTTTACCATGTATTTGAACAATATAAATTTAGGTCTATAGATAATGGTGATTACGTTGAAGGCTGAGCACTATCATTATGCTAAATTTTCTCACCCCAGTGACAAAGTTCTCTTCTTTCCTTGTTTTCTAATTTCTCCCTTGATCCATATATTGCAGAGATCCATACATCGCACCTTCCTTCTGAAAAAAGATTCTAACAGGCATAGAAGCAGTTCTTTAGTAAGAAGGATATAATTTCCTGTATAGAGAAATTTATAAAGAAAAAAAAGGGAGGAAAAACTTGCTGGTACCTGTGTCCAAAGAGGAGGATGCAGTCAGTTCCCTGAAAGATGTACATGTATTACTGTGCTTCTCAATCAAGTAATCAATCAACATTTATTAAGGGCCCGACACTGTGTTAAGTGTTGAGGAAAACAAAAAAAAAAAGGGCAAAAGACAGTCCCTGCCTTCAAGGGGCCAGTCAGGGTACCAGCCTAAACTTAGCCCCATTATCTTGGCCACTAATAAGGTCACTCCTCTACTGAGAATTAATGGAAGCTATATCACTTTCTACTCTCTCCCATCCTATCCCAGCTTCTATAGGAAGAGATGAGGGAAAGGGAAAAAGCATTTATTAATCACCTACTATGTGCCAGAAATTGTTTTCAGTGGTTTACAAAATATTATCTCATTTGACAATCCGTCACCCCCACTCCACAGCAGGGGATGTGGTTGTGGTGAGGAGTGGTTCAGTGGCTTTTTTCCCAGAGAAAGTAGATAACCTCATTCCATGTCCTTCCTTCTCACTCTTTTCCCCCATGGCTTTTATAGTAAGCTAGAATAAAGACTATTGGGAGCTGCAGCACCAGATAAGCCCTGATTTGACTATAATATTCTGAAGTGTGGTTTACTAGTAAAAATATGGGCTATGTGTATGTACCCTACCACAAAATCCTATTATGCCTCATCACAGCATGGAGGGGACCTTGGATTCTTGAAGGCTTTGCCATTGGAGTATAAGCTCAGGTAGCTCCTACCAAATTGGAAAGATTTTAAGGATGTGCCTGATGATGAATAGTCTGTGGCTTAATAAACAGCCCAGCTAAGTTCGTAGAGGTTCATCACCAGAGTGTGATGAACAGGTCATTCCAATTTATTATTTTTTTTAACAAAACGTGTTTTTGGACATAGTCATTATGTGACTTTGTTTTGCTTCCCTATGCTTGTTAGTTATGAGGGTTTGATTTTTCTTTTCATTTCCAATGAGCTAGGGGAAGTAAGAGAAAAAAATACATGCTCAATAGTTGCAAAAAAATTAATTTAAAAAAGTCACATAAGAGTAACTTTTTTTCAAGGTTGCTAAACTAGCTATAAATAAGTTTAGCAAAGCATCTGACAAAATTTCTCATGCTATTCCTATGGAAAAAAATGGAGAGATGTGGACTAGATTTGGTAGATTTAAAAACAGTTGAATGGTCAGTCCTTAAGAATAGTTGTAAATTTTAGATGTCATTGTGGAAGGAATCATCCAGTGCCTGAATGGCTCAGGAATCTGTGCTTGGTCTCATGTTGTTTAACTTGGATAAAGGCAAAGATAGTATACCTTATCTGATTTACAGATGACAAAAATCTTAGACAAATAGTGAACACCACTGGGTAAAGGACAGGATTCAGAAAAATCTTGTTAGGCTAGAATGTTGGATCAAAGTTAAGAAGATGAGATTTAACATTAATGGAGAGATGTATAACTAGGAAACGTAGTGGAATAGTCAGGTAGTGAGAATGAAGATTCACCAGTGGATCAACATTATGTTCTACTAGTATGGATCCATGCAATGTCAAGAGATCTAAAGGCACACCCACCCCCCCACCCAGCATGCCAGATGACATGCAGGATTTATGGGAACACATGGACAAGAGATGCATAAAATGAAAAGCCATGGATGACATGATCTGTACTGGTATCCAAGAAAAAATATTACTAATATCAATAAAAAAATCTAAAATTTTTTAATGAAAAATTGAAAAAAATCCCAAATCTGCATTTTTAGGCTTGTCTTTTCCAAACAATTTTATTTATCATTTATCTATATCCAAGCCATCTCTAGCTTGAAGAGAGATGTTCAGACTGGCATTGTCCCCATGTCCTCCAGCAAGACTCTGCCCCAAAATTTCAATTAACATTTAAAGATAGGAATCTTGAATTAAAGACCTGGTTCTGTCTGGGTCAACATTCCTATAGTGAATAATCTAGTCGCTATCTCATTCCTTTTTGGACCACACCCCTTTCTTCACCCTTTTGTTCTGACTTTCCAAGTCAATCCTTTGTTCATTCTTTTCCAAGGATTTTAGAGAAGGTTTTAGAGGAAAAAATTATTTCTTAATATTTCTAGAGAAACTAAAAAGGAGGTTTTTAATTTGCTTCCAGTTCAAGGGCACTTCCCTTATTTTAGAAAATGACCTAGAATAGAGATGCCGAGCATTAGGACCAGGCTGAAACAACCCTGACTGTGGACCAGAACCAGATTAAAAAGTAATTGGGAAATATTTAACAAAATAAAAATACAATAGAACATAGATAATGTTATTATGTGTTTTTTAAGGACAATATATGGCCCACAAGGATCCTTACATAAGGTTTAGTGGTTGTGGCCTCTTTTCTCTTTCAATCTGACACCATTAACCTAGAACACTGAGAGGATTTGTGCAGTATGATCCCAGGCAGGACTTAAATCCAGGACCTTCTGGCTTAGAGGCTGGCTCTCTATCCACCATGCCACACTGTCTTTCTAGACGTACGTCAGGTAAAATTTCATAATGATCAAAGCACGCTAAAGTGGAATGTGATGTCTCAGAAGGGCTGGAGGTCTTTAAGACTGGATGACCACTGATTCTTGGTTGACTATACATAGGTTAGACTTTGACTTTCCTTCCAACTCTCAAGTTCTATGATTCTCATGTTCCCCTATGATGAACTGATCCAAGTCAACAAACATTTAGGAAGTACCTAGTTCTGCCTGTGTTAAGCAGTGGGGAATACAGAGAACAACAAAACACAATCCCGGCTCTCAAAGAGTTCACAGTCTAATGGGGGACACAACAGGAAACAACTATGTACAAACAAGATTTTTAGGTATGTGTACATGTATGTGTGTATGTATGTATGTATATACATACACACATATCTTTTCTTTGTATCACCAGTGCTTAATTGGGCCTATTAAAAAAACACACAAACACACAAACACACATGAACATATGCTGCTTAACATATATATGATAAATACAAGATAATCAGGATAAATAAATATATACATATGAATGCATATTTGATAAATCTCAGAGGAAAAGCATTAAGATTAAGAAGGACCAAGAAATGCTTCTTGTAGAATGTGGGACTTTAGCTGGCACTTGAGAAGCCAAGAGGCAGAGATAAGAGAAAATTCCAATTATGAGGAACAGTTAGGGAAAAATGCCCGGAGTTGGGAGATGAAGTATCTTGTGCAAAAAAACTGTAAGGAGGCCAGTGTCACTGGACTACAGAGTACACGGAGGGGAGAGTAAGGTGTAAGAAGACTAGAAGGGCAGGAAGAAGCCAGATTATAAGGGGCTTCAAAAGCTTGGGCCTAGGAGGATGGTGGTGCCCTTGACAGTAGAAAGGAAGGTAGAAAGAGGGGAGGTTTTAGAGGAAAAGATAAATTCAGTTTTGGACATGTTGAGTTTGAAATGTCTATGAGACATCTAGTTGGAGATTCTAATAGGCAGTTGGAAATGCATGATTGGAGATCAGGAGAGAGATTAAGGTTGCACAAATACTTATTAGAATCAATTGCATAAGATGATAATTGAATCCATGAGAGCTGATGAGACATAATGAAATACTTTTTTTTAAACTTTAAAAAATTTTTTAAGCTTAAAAAAAAATTTAAACCTTTAGCATTTTATTTTTCCCTAGTTACATGTAAAAACAATTTTAAACATTTTTTTAAAATCCTGAGTTCCAAATTCTCTCCTTCCCTCTCTCCTCATTGAGAAGGCAAGCAATTTGATATAGCAGTTTGATGTTATGCAAAACATATTTTCATATCAGTCATGTAAAAGAAAACACAGGACACCACCCCCCCCCAAAAAAACAAGAAGAGAAACAAAAAAAGAATGCTTCAATCTGTATTCAGATTCCATCAGTCCTTTCTCTGAAGAGGGATAACATTTTTCATCATAAGTCTTCAGAATTGTCTTGGATCATTATATTAGTGAGACTAGCCAAGTCCTTCATAGTTGATCATCATACAATATTGCTATTATTGTGTACAATGTTCTCCTGGTTCTGCTCATTTCACTTTGCATCAGTTCACATAAGTCTCTCCAAGTTTTTCTGAGAGCATCCGGCTCATTCTTATAGCACAATAGTATTCCACCACAATCATATACCACAACTTGGTCAGCTATTCTCTAATTGATGGGTATCACCTCAATTTCTAATTCTTTGCCACCAGGAAAAAGAGCTGCTATAAATATTTTTGTACATATACTTTTTCTTTTTGTTTTTTATCTCTTTGGAATACACCCAGAGGTGGCATTGCTGGGTTAAAAGGTATGCATGGTTTTATAGCCCTTTGGGCATAGTTCCAAATTCCTCCCTAGAATGGCTGAGTCAGTCCACAACTCCACCAACAGTGTATTAGTGTCTCAATTTTCCCACATCCCCTCCAACATTTGTTATTTTCCTTTTCTGTCATATTGGTTAATCTGATAGGCGTGGGGTGGTACCTCAGAGTTATTCTAATTTGCAGTCCTCTAATCAATAGTGATTTAGAGCACTTTTTCATCTCACTATACATAGCTTTGATTACTTTATCTGAAAACTGCCTGTTCATAGTCTTTAACAATTTTATCAGCTAGGGAACAGCTCTTATTTTTATAAATTGGAGAAAGGAGGCCTTTATCAGAGAAACTTGCTGTGAAAATTTTTTCACAATTACGATTAATAACTATATTTCCCTCCATCCTATTTCCCCCTGTTTATCCTACTCTCTCTCTCCTTTCACCCTGTCCATCTTCAAAAGTGTTTTGCTCTTGAGTACCGCCTCCTCCAATCTACTCTCCCTTCTATCAGCACCCCTCCACTTTTCTCTCATCCTCTTCCTCTCCTACTTTCCTATAGGATAAGATAGATTTCTATATCCAAGTAAGTGTGTATGTTATCAAGTGAAACCGCATAGAAGAGAAGAGAGCCCAGGATAGAGCCTTGGAGAATGTCCCATCCAAGATTAGTAGGCAAACCTGTATGAATATAGCTATTCCAATGAAATAAGTAGCAGTGACATAAACAAAAATTTCAAGTCTCTCTGCAAAGCTTTTAAAAATCATCCTCTTTTTTTTCCTTTTGTCAAATTGCAATATAAATATTTTCAATAAAAAATTATTTCCTAATAGTTCTGAGATTGGCTTAAAAGGTCTCTTGGAGACTTTTAAATACAGTATACGACTAAAAGATTGGCTAACTGGGTTGACAACCCAAAGCAAATTACGACTGACCATATGAAACCTGTCAATCCTGACGGCTAAAATACCAATGTGAATTTAGAGGAATGACAACTTTATCATACAAATCAGTTGAAAATTAAGCTTAATTTATTATATGCCAAGTCTGATGATGGAGTTCTACTCGCTAAAGAAAGATTTTCTGAGGGTTTTTAAGCCTGCAATGAAGTTTTTTTGTCAACCAGATTTCAGTTAACTCAAGACCGGCTAGTTCAACTAAGCAAACGCTCACAGTAATGCAAATTATTATTTTTTTTGTATATCTGAAACATTAAATTCACTTTTTCCCTAAGTCATATGTGGGAAACGGCCTGCTTTTAAAAAATATATATATGGGCTTATCTGCAATGATGTCAGAATTTAAAGGAAAACAAATCTTTTTAACATATATTTTTTTCATTGAATAAAAAGATGAAAAATATGTATTGTCCAGATTATAATAGGCAGTTGGATGGCCAGTTCATGGAGTTAATATAGCAATACATATGTTTGGGAAAGGTACTGTAGCTGGACCATGAGTTGGGATGAGATCCGAGCAGGAGAAAAGATGATTGGATTCCATTCAGGAAATTGCAGTGCTTTTAATGATCCTAAATTGCTTCCTGGCACAAGACCTACCTTTTATTTTCTTTTTCAGGTATGGAATAGGTAGTTTTATTCTCAGGCAGGAAGGCAACTTTAAAGTCACTAAGTAGGCTTTGGCCCATTTTCTTAGGGTCAGGTCTGCTGCACTGCTTCTCAGGGTTCTAGGGTACTCTGAGGGGTTGGAAAGAGTCTCTTCTATTGCCATGGTTAAAAACCCCTACTGGCTACATCTCTGCATTGTTAGGGGCCAGTGCACTAGCATCTCAGTTCTATTTAGTCACTTAACATAAATTAGTTTTTACAAAATCACAGTTATTTTAAAGACATAGCAAGGACAAATGTACAAATATTTTCCCCAATGCCTCTAAAGCATACTCTCCTTTATACTGCCTTGGTCTCTATGGAAGTAGTTGCAAAACTTAATTCAAATTGCTGTATCTTTCTATTGGACTGGAGTCCCAAATCCTGAACCATCACCTCTTTGTCCCTTAGGGCATTATCCTGAACTACCTGTAAAAATTGGCCAGGATTCTGACTACTGGATCGCTGTGGCCTGTTCTCCAGACCTTTGAAACTCCTAAAGTGGAGAATGCCACTCTCTTCACTTAAAAATGGAAAGAATAAGTGAAAAAGCCAAGCATGAAGCTCCATTTTTCATGGCCACATGAAGGAAACCTTAGAGGTCCTAAGGCTTCTCTCCTTATGGAATAGTCTCTCACCGTGAGTGGAGGAGTCAACAAATGAAGCCAAATGAGAGAACGAAGCAAAAGAGCACAAGACTCATCTTTTCAGCACATGTTCTCTCAGCAATGCTCTATGATTGTAAATCTTGGAACACGTAGGAATCAAAGTTGTGGATGACGCAAAGGATTCAAGCAGGCTGTAGTATATTTTCAATGACAGTATATATTCAAGAAGTGATATAAGGGACATAATTGTAAAAAAACAATGTCTGATGGGACAAGGAAATGGGTCGATCCTGTGGGAAGAGTGTGGGATAACAGATAAATAGCCAGAGGGTATTGTGAAAAAGACCTAGAAGAAAACCTCTAGAAAGTTTGTTGGACTTTTTGTGCAAGATCAATTGAAGAATATGGAAAAGAATAACAGAGGATGAAAAGGCATGGAGGGGTTCCATTCTGTATTGGAGAGGGGAGAGTACCTAGCTTGAGTGGTGCATTACAGATCCCTTGAAGTATACATTAAGTATTATCACATGGTTAAGAATTGGAAATCAAAGGGATGCCTATCAATTGGGGAATGGTTAAACAAGCTGTGGTATATGATTGTAATGGAACATTATTGTGCTGTAAGAAATGACAAGCAGATGATTTCAGAAAAACCTGGAAAGACTTATGTGAACTGATGCATAGCGAACTGAACAGAACCAGAATAGTAACAGCAACGTTGTTCAATGAAGAACTGTGAAGGACTTAGCTATTCTCAGTAATACAATGATCCAAGACAATCTCAAAGGACTAATGATGAAGCATACTATCCGCCTTCAGAAAAAGAACTGATATTGAATACATGCTATTTTTCACTTTCTCTCTTTCATTTTTTTCTTTTATTCAAGTCTTCTTGTACAGAATTACTAATGTGGAAACATTTTACTTAATTGTAAACCTATGTATAACCTATATCTGATTGCTTTACCATCTCAAGGAGAAAGGAAGAGAGTGATGGAGGGAGGGATAGAATCTGGAACTCAAAACTTTAAATAAAAATGTTTAAAAAAATAAAAAAAAAAGTATTACCACATATACACAACGAAATAAGCTTAAATGCTAGGCCTCTGAGCTAAGTTTCTAGAAAAGGTCCCTTTAACATATATATATATATTTTTTTTTTTCACTCCTCCTGCCATTGTTCTCCACATGCTTAATTGAAGTGAAATTATCAAATTGTAAAACAGTGCATAAATCTCCTTATGGAAGGAGATTTATTCCAGGATACTTAGATCATAGAAACCGCTTGGCCAATATGCTTGGTCTTTGTGGTAGGTGGTGGGGTTCAATGTACTCTGGTCAATAAAGCTTAGCACTAAGACTTATTGCCTGATGAAAATGATACGATGAGTCAGTTGTATCAGTAGGCAGCTAAATAGAGCTGGACTTGGAGTCGGAAGACCTGAGTCTAAGTCCTGCCTTGACATTTACTAGCTGTGTGACCTGGGTTAAGTCACTTACCCTCTGCCTCAACTTCCTCAACTGTAAAATGGAGATAATAGTAGCAACTAGCACCCAGGGTTGTTGTTGTGATAACAGCTGCAAAGCAATTAATGCAGTGTTTGGCAGACAGTAGGTGCTTAATAAATGCTTGTTTCTTTCTTTCCTTCCTAGTACCTCAATAAAAAGCAGCCTGGTGCAGTTAAAAAAAAAAAAAGGAAGAAAAGAAAGTCCCTGTCCTCAGGGAGGTTACAGTCTACTAAAGGCTATGTCATATATACAGACATATATATTACACATATATATAATATATATGCAAAGAAATTTCAGTGGAGAGGCACTAGAAACTGAAGGAATCAGGCACAGTCTTGGGCAGGAAGGAGGATATGAGCTAATCCTTTAAGGGAGCTGGGCTTTTCTAAAAGGCTCAGTCTAAGGGAATGCATTCCATGCATAGGGCACAGGCATGGACATGGGAGGTGGCATGTTAACAACAATGAAGAACAGCAAGTAGGTCACTTTGACTGAACTGCAAAGCGCATGGAGGGGAGTAAGAAGTAATAAAATAATAAGCCAAGAAGGGGAGAAGGAACCAAGCAGTGACAGGCTTTAAATGCCACAGTCAACAAATTTTACTGAGTTTACTGTGTTCTAAGCACTATGGTGTCCCTACCCTCAAGGAGCTGCCATTTTAATGGGACAGAAAATGTGCAAATAACTGTGTATACGTGCAAAGTCAACCTCTGGTGCAGTCAGAGTGACCCCAGGTTTTAACCTTGCCTAACCTTTAGGTAGGCAGGAAGCCAGCCTGCAGTAGAGGATGGTCTGCACATGCACTGATCTCACCTCTGTAAGGTCCTTGAAGTGTCTCATTTTTCAGGATGATATGAGGATACTATATATAAAACCTCAAAAGAGAGAGAGGATAAAGATGTAAAAGTTTTTAAATTTAATGGAGTAGTAAACTTTGAGAAAGCAACAAGATTAGATTCTTAGAAATCTAAGGACTAGGTGGCTTCCAAATGTTTCTAATGGGAAATTCAGGCTTTGCATATGTTTTCATAATGAGTTCTAAAAATCGGACTAAAGATTTCACACATAAAATTGCATTTATAATTCTAAAGAAATTTTTAAATCATCTTTTTCCTGTTTTGAGGTCTCTGATTGTCCTGTTTTGAAAAAAGGACCAGTGATATCACGGGGGTGATGTCATGACTTAAGCATGAATTGGATTTACGTGAGGCAGAGTTGCATAAAGTTGTCAGGCTCATTCTCTCTTCCAGAGTCATCCAAGTCCACTGGCAAGACAAAAGTCAGGACGACTGGTGATGGCCTGGGAGGCAGTGGAGGACCTTGGCATCTTGGATGTCTGACCACCCTCTACGCCTTCCACAGTGCCCGCTTTTGCTGCCTTCATGGCCATGGGAACAAATTGTTCTCATCTGCCCATTCCATGGCAGGGAGGGGCGGGAGTCCTCACAGAAGACAGAAAGGTTCGTTTTTCAAGTCAGGCCCTCATGGATCTTTTTTTTTTTTTTAAGTTTTAAAAATATTTTTTATTTTCCCCAAATTACATGTTAAAACAATTTTTTAACATTTGTGTTTTTTTTAAAGTTTTGAATTCCAAATTCCTCCCTCCCTTCCTCCTATCCCACCGCAAGATGGTAAGCAATCAGATATAGGTTACACATGTGCAATCATGTAGTCATTATATACAAGAAGACTCAAATAAAAGAAAGAGAAGGAAAGAAAGAAATAGCAATGCTTCAGTTTGTATTCAAACAACATCAGTTTTTTTTCTGGAGGCAGATAGTATACTTCATTAGTCCTTTGGGATTGTCTTGGAACATTGGAACATTGTATTGCTGAGAATAGGCAATTGGGGTTAAAGTGACTTGCCCAAGGTCACACAGCTAGTACGTGTCAAGTGTTTGGTCAGAGGCCGGATTTGAACTCAGGTCCTCCTGACGTCAGGGCCAGGGCTCTATCCACTGTGCCACCTAGCTGCCCCAGAATACTTCTTCACTGTACAATATTGCCACTACTGTGTACAACGTTTTCCTGGTTCTGTTCACTTCATTTTGCATCAGTTCATAAAAGTCTTTCCAGATTTTTCTGAAACCATCCTGCTTGTCATTTCTTATAGTACAATAATATTCCATCACAATCATATGCCACAGCTTGTTTAGCTATTTCCCAGTTGACAGGCATCCCTTTATTTCCAATTCTTAGCCACCACAAAAAGAACTGCTATAAGTATTTTTGTACAAATAAGTCCTTTTTTTTTTTTAAAAATATCTTTGGGATATAGACCTAGTAGTGGTGTTGCTGGATCAAAGGTTATACACAGCTTTATAGCCCTCTGGACGTAATATGAATCCTTTTTTAAGATTCTTCCTTCAGCTTGTTGATGGCAATGTCCATACCAGATACCAGGGTTTGGGTAAAGATAGAAAGAACAATTGCTATGTGAAAACTGAAATTCTCTGAAGTTCCAGGTTAATTATAAGTTTCTAATTTGATATTCTTCTTATAACTCTGTTCTTAATAGTACTAGATCCATAAGGTGTGAATGGGTTTTCACCACAGGAACTAATTACTGAAAAGCCAATCTGATTAGATTTTTGTCATAATTTACTAAATTATACTAAGTCTTATCAGTAGCAGGCATTACCTAGAGAATCTCCACAAGTGCCTGGAACCTGGAGATGGTTGAGAAAATACCTCCACAAACCTGGTCTGATCCATGCATAGCTGTTTGAGATGCACAAGAGGTGCTTACCAGACTCCTAAAGAACATGGTTGCTGCCAAAGGACTTGACACCCCTAATGCTACAACTATACTGGATTTCTTTATTCATTTTATTGTAATTTTGCTTGTTTTAGTAGCTCTGTGTGTGTTATGGGCCTTTTACTTGATCTGTAAGTTTCTTATCATTTCTGCTTGGATTAAACCAAGGACCTTGTATTGCAAATTGTAAGGTCATGGTTTGCCCATAGTGTTTATGCAGAGACCTATCTCATGGTCTCTAGTTTCTTTTTCTTTTTTTTTTTTTTTTGCTAGGCAATGGGGTTAAGTGACTTGCCCAGGGTCACACAGCTATCTAGCTACCTTTCTTGTCAAAGGTTTAACTCCTCATAGAAGAAAACTGTGACAAAAAGAGGGAAGTGGGTGGGCCATACCAGTTGATTTTTTTTTTTTGCTTTGTTTTGTTTTTGCTAGGCAATGGGGTTAAGTGACTTGCCCAAGGTCACACAGCTAGTAAATGTCAAGTGTCTGAGGTCAGATTTGAACTCAGGTCCTCCTGATTCCAGGGCTGGTGCTCTATCCACTGCACCACCTAGCTGCCCCGGCCATACCTGTTGAAGACCTACAGACTGAACTGCCAAAGACTATGGGCTACAGATAAGTTTTGGTATACAGAGACCAACTGAGTCATTTAGTAGGAATTTTATCAGATCCTGCTGACCAATTATACTGCCACCAAGGTTACCAAATGGAAGACCTAGATACATCACTCTCCTGTGAAGCCTGCCATGATTGATCTCAGCACAGCAAAAGGAATCAATCCCTGACTGGCTTCATGGACCCAGTTAAGCTGGAAAAGGACCCCAACACCAATGATTGGTTTCTGGCCACTTGTTTGACCCTAATAATTAGGAATGAGTCCTTCACCTGTTCATCAGAGAGTGAGGCTGGTGACTTTGCACATTCCTACTTAAATCCAATTCACTTGCAAGTCATGGCATCACCTTCCTGATGTTATTGGTTCTCTTTGAGAACAAAGGACAAACAAAACCACCACCTAGCCATAAGCACTGAATGGGTGTTGCCTCAGACAAACTGAGACCTGGGAAAGACCTTAGCTTAAAAAGGCCAAGGACTCCCACTACATCCTAGGCCATCTCCAGTTGTGCGGATCTATATCCTGCCACCGAACCCAGATGGCTCCAGAGGAGAGAGTGAGGCTGGTGACTTTGCACAGCTCTGCCTCACTTAAATCCAATTCACTTGCAAGTCATGACATCACCTTCCTGATGTCATTGGTCCTTTCATTTTATGCCCAGCTTTACACCCTTGAAGCTGGGAGAACAGGAGAGCCCAACACTTATGTATGTCTGAT